GGGGGGGGGGGGGGGGGGGGGGGGGGGGGGTGGTCTGCAAAATTAACTCAGCTAGAGGGAGCTGTTCACTCACCATGCTGATGATTCATTGCAGCATTAGACCATGCTGAATGCTGGGAAATACCAAGAGAAGTAAATATATATATAAAAATAAATATATATATCTACAGAACAATAACTATAATTTGAACTGAAACCAGCGCCAAGCTCTCCAGCACCCACCGTCACTTTGTAAAAGTGTATTGGGGTGTTTTTGAGTGTACTGGGCGCTGTGTGTGTGTGTGTGTGTGTGTGTGTGTATGTGTATGTGTATCTGGGTCAGATATACATTACATTGTGGGGACCAAATATGCCCTCATTGTGATAAAAATCTTTTTTATTTTGACGTTGTGGGGACCATTTTTTTGGTCCCCACAAGGAGAAACTCAGTGTCATAAAAATCTGTGACTGGAATCAAAAGACTAAAAATGCCAAAAGTCTAGTATTTTGTTTGGTGTCTTATGGTTAAGGTTAGGGCTGGGTAGTGGTTAAGGTTGTCATTGTTGTGATCATGCCTATAGAAATGAATGGAGAGTCCCCACAAAGATATGAGTACAGGTCTGTGTGTGTGTTTGTGTGTGTGTGTGCGCCTGCTGACCAGAGTGAGTCAGGGCTCACACTGAGGTCCTGCTGCATCAAACTCCGAACGTGCCAAGACGGAGGACTGGGCTGGGGGGCGTGCGTCACTGACTCCCGCAAGAGCCAGCCCATGCCTGGCATTGACACACACACACACACAGACACCCGTGACATAAGGCTGAAACTGCATCTGCTGCTACACGTGACTAAAAGTCACTGACTAACAGTCACTCAAAAACTCCTGCCAGGGGGCAGCACAGAGTCCGCTGGGAATGAACTGTAGGGGGCAGCCTATCGCCCCCTACAGGACCGGAGGACTGTGGTCATTCTGCTTTCTGGAATCAGACCACAAGCAACCTGCTGGTATCATCATGGCTGGCTTCACCTACTTGTTTTCATTTGCCTTTCATAAGGGCAAAAAGCACTGGAGGATGTCAGCATACCACAGGGCAGCACACAGACATGGTGACATCATCACAGCACCGCTGTGCATGACGAAGCAGAATGTGTAACATATACATCACTTTAATATGTATTCTTTCACGATGGTGGCTCTACTAATATGTAGATGGAAGAGTATGGTCACATGATGAATGTATGGTCACATGATGAATGTGTCCCAGCCTCCATCTCTGCTGTGCTGGCCAACTAATGTCAGGAGGACCTCCATCCCAAAACGATGACCTTTTGTCTTCTGTCTTCATATCATTATCAGTTTTATGACAGCATGCTCATATTGTGATATTTACAACTCAGCCCCTGTCTGCTTCAAAATCAGCAGTTATCTATTCATAAAAAGCACACTTAAAATGGATTAATTATACCTTAAATAGATATTAACTTCCAAAGGCGGCCCGGCGCTGCGGGTTACCTTCAGTTTCTTTTCCATTCACATCAAAGGGATACTGGGGCCCTGCTTGACGCCTCGGCATCCTAATGAATCATCTCTGTGCTTCTTCCCCTGCTGCCTTCACTCTTTCACACAAACACACACAGCCACACAAACATACACACACACACTCGCACCCACACATTGTATCTACAGCCACCCAGGGAAGCTGCATTGTGATTGGCTGCTCGCTGTTTCCGTGGATATGTGCGCCACCGTCCGCCACAGGGGCAGCCCCCCATTAGCTACACAACAAAGGTTGTATCAAAGGCTCATGGCGCCCATGTGCTGCAGGTGGGAGCATTATGGACCTCGTACCAGGCTCAAGTTCTTATAGCCTGTAAGTGCAAGATTCACTGAAGTCCTATTAGTGCTTAGCTTTGTCAATAACAGTTAAACTATCTGGACTGTTGTTTGAGCTGCCTGGAAAAGGCACCCATTTTCCCTGGGGTCCAAACCAGGCTGTCAGCTCTGATGGCAAATGGCAGGGAGACAATGACAATGACAAATACAATGGAGTGACATTCACGTGTCTCGCGGAGGAGTGTACACTCTCCTCATGTGGCTCATGGCGGAGTGCTCACGCTTTTCATGTCATTTACAGACTCACAGCTTACGTGTTCACTTGTTACAGACTCATGGTGGAGTGATCACACTCGCCACAGTGCGTACATGTTCATAACAGATTGGTTGTGCTCCTCACACTGCTTACAGACTCATGGTGGAGTGATCACACTCGCCACAGTGCGTACATGTTCATAACAGATTGGTTGTGCTC